AGAACAGGAAGGAAGGATATAAAGAAAGAAAGAATGGCGTGAGCAGGAAGGCAGTAGACAGAAATATATGAACTGTTATGTTCTCCATCCACAGTCTCGAGGGATCATTAAATCAAACGCTGAGAAACGTTTGTAAAGAGCAGCTGATGACAGAAAACACGAGAGAGAGAGAGAGAGAGAGCAGTGGGAGTGAGACACGTCTCCTCATCTGGGTGGATCATGGGTGGACGCGGGACAGATAACTACACTATGAACACAACCCGATTACACATCATTTAAAGGTTGAGTCACTTAACATGGAGTTTCCTTTGACTCAGAATGAATCATGAGTAGATTTGCATGTAATTCGATTAAAATAATGGCTCAGGTGCCCCTGTAACTCAAACAGTAGAGCATTACATATGTGCCGAGCTACACGCATACTCTCGCGGATGAGGCAAACGCTGACGCAAACATGCTTTGTGTGGTGGCATTTTCAACAGAACTTTTTCAGAAACGAAACTCATCCATCCAACATTACCGTATTGAATGAACCTTTCTGTATTACAACCTCTTCTATAATTTTATTTAAGGTCACACACTATATAATTGCAATCAATGATAATAAAAATCAGGGCTGTCAAACGATTAATCGCGATTAATCGCATCCAAAATAAAAGTTTGTGTTTACATAATATATGTGTGTGTAGTGTGTATAATTATTTTATATATATAAATACACACACACATGCTTGTATATATTAAAGAAATATTTTCATGTATATAGATTTATATATAATTTATATTAAAATATTTTTTTCTTAAATATACATGCATGTGTGCATTTATATATATACACAAAATAATTATACACAGTGCACCCACATATATTATGCAAACACAAACTTTTATTTTGCATGCGATTAATCGCGATTAATCGTTTGACAGCCCTAATAAAAATGTATTATAATAAACTTGACCACATGACCTTTAACCTAAGGAACGACTTTTTAATCAAATTTACATTGTCATTAAGCAAAAAAATTGTTCCAGTCGTATAATTTAATATTTGCAATATTACTCTTTAATGATTTATATTGGTTATATTAAAAATTAAATAATTGTTTTTGTAATTTAACAACATGATAAAATGAAGTACTTTCACATTTGAAATAATTAGCGACAAATGCTTTTTTTTGTAAATTATTAAAAATCTTGTGAACAATTTCACTTTTATACATTTCTTAGATACTATGTTTCACAACAAATCTCTTATTTTTGCTAATTTTATTACTGTATTTGAACTGAAAAATTGTCTCTAATCAGCTGAATAACGAATGGCCGACATGCATATTTTTCAAAATCAAAATAATTGTAAATATTTATTAGGTCACATCATTTATGCCAAGTTGCAGTTAAAAGGTGTTTTAAAAAATAAAAAATGATTTTCAATAGGAATTATGTGTTAAAAAGTGAGTGACAACATCTGTCAGGGCAATTGTAGAATGACTGGTTCCCACTAACACAGCCGCCGTCTCTAGTGGAGGATGAATCAGAATGAATGGGCTGATAGAGTGAAGGTGTGCGCCAGTGTATGAGTACAGCAGCTGGCAACCAATGAGTCTCCTCAGAGAAGATCTCTACAAAACCTATCCGGCTGATTCTCGATGGCCAAACCGGATCTTAAAGGGATAGTTCACTTTGAAATTAATTTTTGGTATGTTTTAGCTTACCTCAAGGGCATCCAAGATGTAGGTGTCTTTGTTTCAGCAGTATTTCCAATTTTGATATATTTAGGTCAAACCGTTCTTGTCTGTCAGTCATATAATGGAGGTCTATGGTCACCACCTCAAAGAGCATGCACAGAGAAGTCCAAATTAAACATGATTTAATGACTCGTAAATGTCAGTACACATTGATGGTCTAAGACACGAAACGAGCGGTTTGTGTGAGAAAACTAACAGTATTTATGTTGTTTTTACCTCTTGTAACCACAGCCACGTCCATGTGATCTGAGGGCGTGGAGTAAAAACGACATAAATACTGTTCATTTTCTCACACAAACCGCTCGTTTCGTGTCTTAGTGTACTTACATTTACGAGTCATTAAATCATGTTTAATTTGGGCTTCTCTGTGCATGCTCTTTGAGGTGGTGACCATAGACCTCCATTATATGACTGACAGACAAGAACGGTTTGACCTAAATATATCAAAATTGGAAATACTGCTGAAACAAAGACACCTACATCTTGGATGCCCTTGAGGTAAGCTAAAACATACCAAAAATTAATTTCAAAGTGAACTATCCCTTTAACATGGGTGCTGATGCAGATGATGTCAGGGGGAGATTTGGGTCAGACTCAGCTGGCATCGCTTAGACCCTGCGTGAGGAAAAGCCGCTGAAGAGGTGCAGCGAATTCGTCGAAGACGTGTTGGGGAGAGATTTACGACAACGGTTGGGTCAAAGAGAGTCAGGTGGTCTGGTTTTTAAAAAACAGGGATGAGCGAGGACTATCCTGCCTTATCATCGCCCTGCAGCGGGCCATATTTTAGCCATCTACCTGTCGAAGCAGCCTGAACGCGTTGGGCACGGAGGCCCCTCTTCAAAGAGCATCTCGAATCGGCCGTGCGCCCGCACTGTGAGGGAAGGGGTTATTAATAGCCCCAAACACCAATGCTAATAGGGCTCAGCTTTACTGGCTCACCATCAAAGACTCCCATCAGCCCCTGCTACAGATAAAAGGGGCAGTTCAACGGATGAGCAGAGCTTATACAAATTGTTACAAGACACCATTCTCCCACCAATTCTCCAACAACCACCTACCGTTCATGAAAATCCCTGTGAAAATGGGGGCTTTTCACCTGTTTGGCTGTCATATGTGTGTGTTAGAGGGTAATATTAAACCGGTGAGTTGGTTTGGCTCTGTTTTAAAGGGGACATATCATGCTAAATCCACTTTTTCAGCGCATTTTGTTGTATATTTGTAGTGTTTATAAAGTTCAGAAAAGTTGAAATTATTCTCTTCAGGTGCTTCATATCTTTATATTCTGTTTTGGTCATATTTTGCAAAATCTGTTCAGATTTTTCTGGTCTCTATGACGTATTTTGAACAATTACATCACAGTATTTGCAGCGGAACTGACAAATGAGGACATTGACTACCGGCCCAACACTCCATTTTTATTTCTCGCTCCGATTTTGTAGTCCAACCTCAATGATGCAGAAGTTACGAGAGGGCAAGTCAAAATGTTCGGTTGATTTACAGCTGGAACAGTGTTTTGTGATTGGTCACCTGCTTCGAGTATATAACCGCACACTACTCAACCTGGCCTCGCCCTCTTTATTAAAATGAATAATATTTTTGATGTGTAAGTTCCCGTGTAAGACAACTCAAGATTACAATCGAGGCGTTTCAGGAAGTTCAGAAATGGTGCTTACTGATAAAGAGAATAACTTAATTTGGACTTGACCTTGCGCATTGTAACTTTACAGAGTTTTTTCATGCTCAGACAACAACAGCTTACTAGGTTTTTGAAACAGAGCCCTTCTCTTTGAAATAGTTTTTACTGTCTTTCCTGCCAAAAAAGAAAAGGTTCATTGATCCAGTTGATCAAACTGAAGTCTATTAGACTCTTCCAGCATTCTCAATCATCACATCCTATTCTGAGTTAAACTCAGTGAAATACAGTCCTTCTATTGGCTGTGAGGTCACTGGAGTAGCCCATGCCTATCCAATAAAAGGACATTGTTGCCTTGTGATAAATTCAGCCTTAAACAGGCCACTCTCAGGCCACATGTGCCCACATAAAATCTCTGACTGTGCAGCTGCTGGTAATATAAATAGTTTGAGGGAGTAAATAGCTATTCAAAGAAATACATATATAATAAGCTCAGTAAGGCAAATATATCTGTGCATTAGTTATAAGTGCGTCTTTAATAAATATGATGCCGCTGCTCAACCTGGGCTCATTCTACACATTTCCCAAAGACAGAGAGAGAGGAAAAATGAAAAAAAAAAAAAAAAAAAAAAAAAAAATCTGGCTTCTGCACCAGACACTAAAACCTGCTGGTCTTTAACCAAGAACACATAACCAGTGTCTAAGGGGGGGATAATGTCCACATGATCGAGTTTTTAATTAGATTTTTTAATAGTTTTTCATTAAAATGATCTAAAATCCTTAAAACAATGCTTTAAAACAAAACTTTACTTGCAAAGAAACACTAGTGTTGTTGTTGTCAACTAAAACTATTAAAAATCAGTTTCTGTAATTAAAATAAAACTAAATAAAATAAATATCTTTAATTTAAAATGTAAAAAAAAACACTTGATTGAAAACTACTAATGTTGACAACAAACTGGAATAAATAAGTTTAAGCACTAAAATTCCAAAAACTAAAATTGAAATAAAAAGTAAATAGACAAGGCACGTACTGTAACAAAATTACTAAAACTGCAACTAGAATTAAAATAAAAAAACTGAAAAAATAAAAATAAAGCTAATTCAAAATATGAATAAACACTACAACAGTTTATAAAAAATACTTAAATGACTGCATAAGATATTGTAACTTGTTTTAACTATAAATGTATTTTTCTCAGTTGAAACAAAGTCAGTGCACCAAGACAAAATACACTCATTTTAAAGATGCAATCAATTAAAATAAGTCTTAATATCTTATGAGGTGTTGTTTCTGAAATTTATTGTTTTAAGGATATTTATTCATTTAACTAGAAAATTAGACAAAAATAAAGTTGATAAAACATGCATTTGGGCAGACACTCCAAAGTGCTCCACACACTTATGTCTATGTGTCAGTTTAAAATAACTTGACATTAACAAAAAAAAAAAAAATCCCAGAATGAAATATATTCAATATATGGTTCCATTACGCCTGACGCCAACACCAAAGTCAGCTCATCGTGTCAAAAAGATGCTGAGAGACGGTCACAGTTTTACACACTTATGTAGACCGCCCTGCTTGTTTTGGTGTAAAAGAGGTGTATGTGTGATGATTTTACCTGAATGCTGCCAGATACTCCGTGTCCCCCATGGGCGGCTCCAGACCTCCGGTGAATGCCATGTTCACGTTAAAGCCCACGCCTGGACCGATGCCCACCTATGACAAGCCACAAATACAACTCTATTAAATATGTGGTGCAGTTCTAAGTCTACTAAGCTCCCAGCACAGGTCTTACTGGAGCAGATGAGCAAGTGTTATGAATCATGCACTTTCAAACATCCTCAGGGAAAGCGCTAAATCAACGCTGATGTCACAGAGCCAATGCAAGACAAATCCCAACAATTAGGACCAGAGTTAAACTGTAATGAGGTCTTATTTAAAAGCCAAATGGACTTTGACTAATACCAGAATTTAGGGGTACAACCGAGTCAATTCAATTTCAATCCCCTCATTAGTTCAGAGGCATGAGCTGATTTATCGGATTAATGATAATGAGCATTAATTATAACTGAGAGAAATGGGAGTCAAATAAGGGGAAAAGAAGAACACAATCTTTACCGTACAGTGCATATATAAGGGAGGAAACTCAATTTTGGCCGCTGGAAATTATCGGCCGAATATGGCATTTTTAAGGCCGAAAATATATGCCACTCCGCCACGCGCCTCATGAAATTTCTATGTAGTGTATACTTGTTGCTGTTTGCAAGAACCCGATTGCCCTAAAAGTATTTTCAGCTTCAGTTTTTGATCATGTTCTCCAGGATGATTTGAGAATTATTCAAAGAGCATCTGCATCTGATCGTCTATGCGAACAACTCGCACGATAATGTCACCTACAAACTGTGCATTTTCCCCATGTTTTCTCAGTTTTATGTTCTAAAAAAATCCTAAAACTGTTTATTTTCAGGTTTAAACCTGATTTTGAATCGTTTTATTTTTTTATGCCTTATATTTTGAATTTTATTTCAAAATTATAGTCTCTCTTACTGGAAAAAAAGATGTTTCAAAAGAAGTGCACATATACTGTGATATACAGTACAATTCAAAAGTTTGTGGTCAGTAAGTTTTTTTTTTCTTCTTATAAATATAAATCAATTTCAATTCAGCATTAAATTGATCAAAAGTGACTTCTCTGTACATTTTGATAAAATATTACATTTATCAAAGAATCCTGAAAATAAATTTATCATGCTTTCCATAAAAATATTAAGCAGCACAACTGTTTTTAACATTGATAATAAGAAATGTTTCTTCATATCATCATATTAGAATGATTTATGAAGGATCAGGTGACACTGAAGACTGGCACAATGATGCTGATTCACAGTTACTATTTGTGAGAAGTAACTAGTAACTATAACTAATTAATTTTTACTTTTAAGTAACTTTAAAGTAATTAGTTATAGTTATAGTGAATTAAATTATTAAAAGTAACTAATTACCAGGGAAAGTAACTATTGCGTTACTTAAAAAAAAAAAAAAAGTTAAAATAGGCGGCCTATGTCAAATAACTTGGATGCACCCAATATTAAAAATTAATGAAATGGACACTAGAATAAATTATTATTATAAAACATTGTACACTAATCTATACTACCATAATGTTGCTGTGGGACAATGTAAGACTCCTATAAAATTCAATATATTATTTTAAATATTATCATTACTATAGTAGAACAATAAAACATAATTTTAGGTTAAGGTTTAGAACTTTTAATATTTAATATTGCACAGACGACAAATTTAATATTGCACAACTGGCCAACAAATAATTCTAAAAATAAATGATGCTTAAATGTACCAAAAACGAATAAATAATAATAAAATAATATACTGTAAATACAGTCTTTGTAGTGAAAATTAAAATGATGAAAACCGCTTCAGTGAGCTAAATTAGGCTAGTAGTAACACCGTATTTTATTTTCATTAACGGTAACGGCGTTGTAACGGGGGAAACAGTAATTCGTTTGATTACTCGTTACTGAGAAAGATAACGCCGTTTATTTATAATGGCGTTATTCCCATCACTGTATACTAGTGTATCAAATAGTGTCAAAAGGACATGAAACTCACCTCATCGGGGGCTCCGCTGCCGGGGAAGAAGTTCCCATCATCGTAGCGATGGAGAGACAGATACAGGATATTAGGGTCACTGTAGAAGGCCTGTTGAGTCCCGTTGCCATGGTGAACATCCTAATAGACAACAATACAAACAATTCATGTCATCTGTTCTACACTAAAGTGATCACTAATCTACTCAAAACAACATTTGGCTAAGCAATGTAAAAATCAGACGCTGTAAAAAAGACATGCCGTCACTCTGGTGTATTCGCAGTGGAGTGAAAAGTGTGTAAAAATCTATTCTGAGCCGTCAGTGATGCAGGAGGACAGTTTAAGAGTTGATTTCTTTTCATGTCTGCCACAACATGTCACGGTCAGCTTCCCCGTAAACAGCAGGTCTGTCAGAAGAGCCGTGTCACAGAGAGGAGGAAATGAAAGCCATTTTAAAAGGCATCCAGAAACCCTAATGACCCCAGCAGAGCTCTGCCTTGACGTCACTTGTCATTTTAGGCTACCGCTGGCCCAGGATGAAACATATATATATATATGAGACAAATATATATATATATATATGAGACAAATATATATATATATATATATATATATATATATGAGGCAAATATATATATATATATATATATATATATATATATTATATATATATATATATATATATATATATATATATATATACTGTATATTTGAGACAAATATATACAGTATATATATATATATATATATATATATATATATATATATATATTTACATTTTTAATAATATAAAAAGTATAACTTTTTTCTCCAGTCATGGTACTGGTTATGTTAGCAGAAAAGAAAACCCCAGAAATTGGCCATGGACATTTACTGAAAATTATGCGTGTAATTTTTTATATGGTACTTGCACCAACCAACAGTGACGTACTCAGAAATCGTTTTGGAAATGGTGATTATTTGTGTATTTCAGTTTGGTGACTAGTGGCAAAGAAATAGGAAAAATATGTTTATGAAGTAAGCACATATGATTTCATGGAATAAAACAAAAATATATACAATCTGATTGAGTGTGCACTTACCCAGTCCACAATGAGAATCTTACTGACGTTGAGTCTCTGCTGTAAGAGTTTGGCTGCAATGGCGACCGAGTTGAAATAGCAAAATCCCCTGTTTTTTGTGTCAAAAACAAAAGCAAATAAACCCGCATGTGAGAGAAAACACAGAACCAGGGCAGTCAGATGGTGTGTGTGATCTATTGTGGAGGGCCTGATCGTGTACGTTTCTGAAGTGGACCTCCTGGCCTGATGGATTGTCTCATTTCGCTAATGACACGATTCACCCACTGCGTCCTGGCCTGACATCAGAGCGTAAGAAAAGGGCCTGGCCCGCGGCCCACGGCAGAGGCACCAAACCTCAGTCGACTCCCCGAACACGGCATTGATGGAACAATCCTTTTATTTAACCTTTCAGCATAGAGACTGAGGAACACTCGTTTACTTTAACCTTTCTGTAATGAGGGAGACGCACTGGGAATAAAGATGGGAGGAGCGGCTGTGATGCTTGAGCCTTTTAGAGCAGCACAACTCATCAATTAGAGGGTATTTAGTCCCACATTAAAGATACCTGACATTCATTTGGACAAACCATCAAGCTTCAAGATAAATAAAATTGCATCCAAGTTGCCTGAGCTTAACATTGAGAACATTGTGTGCCCAAACAGTCAGAAGTATGCCAGATCGGGAATAAATGGCACTTTTTATGAAGAAACTACAAAGTAGGGCCTGAAACTCTTACAAAATGAATCATGAAATCAAGTTTTATTGTATGTTTCAGGATTTGGTCGGTAAAAGGAAGGGCAAACTAACGGTCACTTTATGTGAGCTGTGAGTTTTTTTTCTTACACTTTATTACCACGATGTTTAAGCAATGTCTTAATAGTTTTTTCGGTGATTATAATTTTCTATTAATATATATAAAAAAAAACATCAAAATGAAGTAGAAAAAAAATCCTAAATAGATAAAATAAAAAGCTAGCTATTTCGGGACCAATTGTAAGTTTAGATACTGATATATTGAAACATATTTAGCCCATAAATTAAATAAAATAAATACAATTTTTAAATAAAAAATCCTAAATAAATCAAATAAAAAGCTAGCTATTTTGGGACCAATTGTAAGTTTAGGTACTGATATATTGAAACATATTTAGCCCATAAATTAAATAAACATTATTATTTTTTTTTCATCATTGTTGCTTACATTATCTTGAGTAACAGGGTTGAACGGTTGAATCTGACAATGCGTATAAATTTAGAAAATTGGTTCGGTGAACAAAAGATATAACAATTATATATATAATTGAATTAATTAATTGAATTTATAATTGTTTTAATTGAACACATTATGTCAAAATTATTTGCTGTAATATTTTACATTTAAACGTATTTTTTTTTAGTCTGTGTGTTCCCCTGAAACTGAAGTCGAGCTACAGGAACCTCTTTAATTCCTGGACCCAGAAAAGACGCGCCAAAGTCTACCGTACTCCTGAAAAAATGCCGTTTACAACAAACGCTAGTCTTTCCAAATAAAACTGGCGTGAGTCTGTCTGGAGATAAGACTGGCCTACTGTGCTGAATTCACCTCACCGACAATTTGCATTACTTCACCGAAGCCAGCGAGAGTCTTGGCCAGGCGATCCACTGCAGAGCTGGAATTCATTTATGTGAGAGGACAGTGTGTATAACACTGATTTATGATGCTGTGCGTGTGTTTGAAGTGGATGCTGATATCGGCTGTGGGGTTTGTTTTGAGATCGCAGAGATACAGTGAGAACGTACATGGGAGTGCTCTCCTCAGCGTGGTGTCCTGGAGGTCGAACCACAGCAAAGCCGTTCTGTGAACACAAACACACACAATGTCTGAGAAGTGAGAAATACAGAAGAACCTTAACACAGTAGTGACATCCCAGTTTGCGTAGTTATGCACTATTATATGCGGGTTCGCAGTTTAAATAGTGAGAGTAGTGTGTTCAATTCAAATAAGTAAACTTTAAATACCCGAATGATGCACTTAAAGGGACAGTTCACCCAAAAATGAACCCTTAAGTTGTTCCAAACCTGTATGAATCTGTATGAACACAAAAAATACGATATTTTTGAAGAAAATTGGTAACCAGACAATTGATGGATCCCCATTGACTTCAATTAGGGAACAACTTGAGGGTGAGTAAATGATGACAGAATTTCCATTTTTGGGTGAACTATCCCTTAAAGTGCATCATATGGGTATTTAAAGTGTACTTTTTCTATTTTAATTTTTTGGGTGAACTTTCCCTTTAATTTACAGGGAAAAAAAAGCACAAAAAAAAAGTCATGCATTATTATGATGTCGAATGACAAAACAACCTTATAAACTTCATTCACTACAAGGTTAGGTACATACTGTATAGTGCATAAGTTCATAGTGTATAGTGCATCATTTGGGACACAACTAGAGTATTAAACTAATTTATGAATGTATAATTTTTTTAGAAATAGATTTAAAAAATAGTTCAAAATATTTAATATTGAGTTGGATGAAATAAAGTTTAATTTATTTAGTTTAATCTTACATTACTGCATTTGTTACATACGTATGCAGTATATTTCAAGATTTCACTTTTATTATTTATCTTATTGTAGCATTTTGACAGTAATCATTTTTGGATTAGCTGTGATTTTGTCATGTGATGCAGCGGTTCGTGTTCAGTGAGGACTCAACACTGGAACTTGTTGCATTGCGTCTGGCTTGGACACACAGTATAACGGAGGTATACTAATGAATGTGGGTTCATTTACAAAACATCATTCTGTCCCGTCCCTCCTTGACAGTTAAAGTATTTTCCATTCAGGCTGATGGATAATGAAGCTCAGTGGATGCTACTATGTTGCTGGGTGTCTCTGCATGGCTATTGAGAGCAAAAAGACTTTAAGTCTGTCAGTGTGTGATACTACTCTACCTCAGGTTTCACACACACTGATTTTATTATCCTTCCTCACTTCAGATGATATTATTTTATGCAGATATAGAGTGCGAAACAGAGAAAAAAAGCTAGTGCATTGTGTTTTTCTAGGCATGCTGAGGCCATGTCATTCTTGAATGCGATGATGGATGTATTTCAGTGTGTTATGCTGAGATTTCGGGTGGGCGGGAGCTGAGGGGAAATCATTTGTGAAACGCATAATTCAGCCTCTAAATACTGACTGGAAGTCCATTAAACATACATCTGTGACCATTGAGTGTGTGAGAGCGTGTCAGTCTTACCCTCAACTCTCCCGAAGCCACCTTAAAGACCAGATCCACCACAGATCCCACAGCCAGACGAGCAGCACTGGACGAGTGAACTTCATTCCAGATAGTGTCACTGTCAACCTGTTAACAAACACACACACATACACGTCCGTTGCATTTAGGGTGGAGATGATCCGATTCTGGGAATGCAATCAAGTGTGACAGAGTCATATTTGTTATTAAAAATTAAACACACACACACACACACATATATATATATATATATATATATATATATATATTAGAGCTGTCAAACGATTAATTGCGATTAATCGCATCCAAAAAAAATGTGTTTACATAATGCAGTATATGTGGGTGCACCGTGTATAATTATTTTTATATAAATACACACACATGCATGTATATTTAAGAAAAAAATATTTATATATCATATACATTATATATAAATCTATCAGTAAATACATGAAAATATTTCCTAAATATATACAAGCATGTGTGTGTTAAAATTATATATATATGTAAAATATTTATACACAGTGCACCCACATATATTATGTAAACACAAACTTTTATTTTGGATGTTATTAATCGTTTGACAACCCTAATATATACATATATACATATACATATATACATATATACATACATATATATATATATAGCCTACTGTATATATATAAATAAATTAATACAAATTGTCGTGTACATAAAAAAATTATAAAAAGTTCTGTTTACTAAACTAAATAAGCCAACTGATATGATTTATATATCTCTTGTATCTTTTACCCAATACGTTCTTGTATATACGTAAATAAATACAAATATAATGTGATTAAATATATTAAATATCAAGTCCAATATCAAGTTAAAAAATGTTTGACAAAAAAGTATTAAATATATATATATATATATTAAATATAAAATGTTTTACAACATTAAATCTAAAAACAAATGATAAAAAAAGAGTAAATAGTTTAGTAGTTATTGTTTCATGCAAATTCATAATACCCACAAATAATTAGTCCCATTTAAGCTAGTCCTGTTGTAGTGCACTTAAAATGTTTCACAAACAGCAATTTCTAGTCAATGAAAAGGTATTGCTCAAAAACCAAATAATGAAAATGGTATGACATCCTAATTTAGCAGAGAATGAACAATCCTCTCCTCAAGAACCCATGCATTTGATGAAAGAGGAACGTGTTTTCTCACTGCTGACAGACTACACAGGACAGAAGCGAGACGTTTACTCAAGCGGACAGCAAACAGAGCCAGAGAGGCTTCATACACACGAGGCCTGAACCCCGACCGTCCCCAAACATCCTCTTATGTACCATTCCCGCTCTCACAGAGATGCTTGATTGCCCAGCAAGCAGAAAGAGAAAACGCCACACTGAGATTTACACACAAACCAACAACATGGTCACAAAAGAAGACAGAGGCCTATGTGACACCTAAGAGCATGCTGGGAGTTTAGGTTAAGAGAGAACGCAAGTTTATTCTGTGACATGAAGGCAAATAGTGTCAGAGGAGACCTGGCTCGGGAAGGGGGGCATTCCCAGAATGCTTAGAGACAGAAAACAGCCATTCATCAGGCAGTACTGATTATGCACACACACGACTGCCCTACAGCCTGCAATTACTGCACAAATGAACACACACACTAATACTTAAGCACAGTGCACTTAAATGGACTCATGCATTAAACTGGGAATAATTCATGAGGTGTAAAGTACAGATCAACAGGTGCTCCAAGTGCAGAATAACATGAAGTGCCATTATTAATTAATAGTGTTTAGTTTATGACAAGCATCACTACTACCATTGCTCGTAAATGGGGATAGGGAGCAAAACTTCGGCATGAATGAGACTTTGCATACACTTAGACACTATGTTTAGACTTTGTTTTAAGAGCTAGTTTGACCAACAATAAGTTATCCAATGGGTAATCAGTCTTAATTTTCTGATTCAGATGAGAACGATATAACGATTTTTTTTTTTAGAATATCATGAAAACTTGAGCCATTAATCATTACCACATTATATGTTCTATTAGAGAGCTTAGCACAGATCAGTTCTGCTCATATTTGTTCAGAAAATATGAAAATATATTTTTTTACAAAAAAAATTATATACAAATATTATTTTAAACAAATATAATGAAATAAATAAATAATATATTATAAAATATATAAAATAAATGTATATATATATACATATATATTTATATATATTTATTTTTCGTTAGTCCAATGTGTATTTGTTCAGAAAAAAAAAAACATCTAGTGTCTGTTTTAATTAATTTTTTTGTTGTTGTGGGTTTTTACATTTAAAATTATTCTTTTAAATGATAAAACTTTTATTTTATGATTTTTTTATTTATTTATTTTTTTTTTATATTCTTTATTTTCGTTATTTTTCCACAAGCAAGAAAACAACAACAAAAAAAGGGAACAAAACATCAACAAAACACAATCAAAACAGACAAAATATAATATATAAAATACAAATACTGTTTAAATAAACAAATAAAATTAATTTAAACTATTTAATATTAAAATAATATATATTAAGCTTACTTTTAAATAAAAGGGGAAAAAAACAGTTTTTAACTTTTGGCTTTCTGTGACCCAATGTGCATTGGACAGAAAAATAGCTTAATAATATCATTTTTATTTTATTTTTTATATTTAACCATATATTTATATTCAAACTAGTAAAAGAGATGAGTTCAAAATTGGTAAAAAAAAAAAAAAAAAATGTGCAAATTACAAAACGTCTTGTCTTGAACATCTCTAACAGACAGCCAATAAAACGTCTCTCTCTTCCCGCCATCATCACGCTCTACTTCCAGTGTGGTTTTCCAATAAACCACCTGCGACCACTGAAGTCATTTCTGTTAAAGTGCTGGAAGGAATATTACAGTAGGATAGTCTATGTCTCTGCAAGGAGAGCGCTGAAATAAGCACTTAATGAAGCAACAAGCTGGCAACAAGAAAGACGGAGAGAGGGAAGTGAGAAATCTGGAGAACCGCTGAGGCACTCAGGAGGGGTTTACCAACCCTGGGTTTCCCTCTCAGCACACATATCCTCCATCCATTTATGAATTCAGCTTTTCAATGGCATGAGCGCTCAAGGGTAACGTAAAAAAAAGACCTCCGGTCTTTTCAAGCTCCGCCAAGAACGACATCGTCACGAATTACGAGCCTGTGGTGCATTTCAAAAATTGATTCAGGGAACAGTGAGAAGGCTAGGGAACTGAGAGAGAGTGAGCTATTGAAAGAGAGAAAGAGTGCATGATGAGTCAGTGTAGAAATAAACGACAGCAAGAGAGCAAAAGGATGTGAAATAGATGTGAATTTCAGGGTCATTCCAGGATATTCTTTGTGTCTGGAGTGCAACTCAGATAGTGCCTACGTTAGCAGCTCATTAACTGTAGGAACAGAGCCACTATGTGACTCTTCCAAACAAATAATAATGAAAATAAATACAAACAAACAGAGAAGAGTCATTTTTATGAAGTGAATATTTCAATGTTATTGGCGTTAAAATTAAAGGAGTAGTTCACTTTTCAAAAAACTTTTGCTGATAATTTACTCACCCCCATGTCATCCAAGATGTCCATGTCATTCTTTCTTCAGTCAAAAAGAAATGAAGGTTTCTGATGAAAACATTCCAGGATTTTCTCCATATAATGGACTTCACTAGGCACCAAATGGTTCAAGGTCCAAATGAGAGTTTCAGTTCATCAAAATGAACAAATCTTTGTTCGAGTCATTTGGTTCATTCAACAAACGAAATGAATCGAAAAAAGATTCATTCATTTTGATGAATGATCATTGTCTGGTGTTGTTTGACAGCACTTTGTAGCTGCACTGAAACTCTCATTTGGACCTTGAACCGTTTGGTTCCCACTGAAGTCCATTATATGGAGAAAAATCCTGGAATGTTTTCATCAAAAACCTTAATTTCTTTTTGACTGAAGAAAGAAAGACGTGGACATCTTTGATGACATGGAAGAAAGTCGTGAACATCTTGGATGATATGGGGGTGAGTAAATTATCAGCAAAAGTTGTAACTACTCCTTTAAAATCACTAATCCTTAGTGTACATTTAACACTATTTGTAGTTTAAAGCAAACAAACAAACTCGGTGGAAGACATCAACACGTTTCAGGCTTCAGCCCCAGAAGCCCACCGCAGCGTGACCCGGGGTGTACAGGCATGTTGGAATGAACAAGCACAGTTTATCTTCACCCTGACAGGATAATTTTTGCTCTAAAGATGCAGGAAGACAACAATTTTGTTCCATTTCCATAAAAGAGTCCAGAGCCCTTCTGTTTCTCACCATTCAGCTCAAAGACTGTGACTTCAGCCAGACGAGACCGCCTGCCATTTATCAGAACCCCCCAACAGCCCTGCCTGAGGACCCTCCATCACACACACACATACACACACATTTAAAAAAAAAAAAAAAAATTCTGTATGATTTATAAGCGTGTTTAGCCAAGGGGACATCACTTTAGGTCCCCACAGTGATACGAGTCCTCATGAGTCTGTGTGCATAAGTTTAAGTCCCCACCGGAATAGAAAAACATGAACACACACATATAAAATATTTTGAAGATATTACAATTTTATGTTTTTTGAAGATATTACAATTTTATGTTTTTCAAAGAAGTCTCTTATGCTCACCAAAGCTGCATTTGTTTAATCAAAAATACAGTAAAACAGTCATATTGTGAAATATTTAGGGCTGTGTTAATCACATCCGAAATAAAAGTTTGTGTTTACATAATATATGTGGGTGCATTGTGTATAATTATTTTGTATATATATAAAAATACACACATGTATATTTAAGAAAATAATATTTATATATAAAATATTTATATTTATATTTAATATAAATTATATATAAATCTATATAGAGTATATACATGAAACTATTTCTTAAATATATTCAAGCATGTGTGAGTGTGTGTGTATATATATATATACAGTATATATATATACTGTATATATATATATATATATATATATATATATATATATATATATATATATATATATATATATATATATAATTATACACAGTGCACCCACATATATTATGTAAACACAAACTTTTATTTCGGATGCGATTAATGATTAATTGCGATTAATCGTTTGACGGACCTAGAAATACTTCTTCAATTGAAAATAATTGTTTTCTATTTTTATATATTTTAAAATTTAATTTATTCCTGTGATGGCAAAGCTAATATTTCAGCATCATTACTCTAGTCTTCAAACAGAAAGCAGTTATTTTAAATTATAAAAAAAAAAATTTCACAATGTTACTGTTTTTACTGTATTTTTTTTATTAAATAAATGCAGCCTTATAAATGCAAATTTTGTTTCAAAAACATGAAAAAAATGTTAATGTTTCCAACTTTTGGCAGGTAATGTATACACTAAACTACCAATCAAATGTTTGAAGTTTCTTCTGCTGACTTCTATTAAAAATAGAGTAAAAACAGTAATATTGTGAAATATTAAAAGATCTGTTTTCTATTAAAAATACTTCAAAATTTCATTTATTTCTGTGATGCAAAGCTGAATTTAAATAGTCTTTTGATCCAATTTGCGCTTCCTCTTCTATGACATTTTGCATGATTAGATTTGTATACGAACTAAAAATGTATGGAACTAGTTCAATATTTAAACAAATATTATCACGTTTCACATATTTTAAACTTTTAAAATGTCCTTAATTACATGGTAAAGTTAACATAGTATCCTTGTGGCTCAAACAAGAGAGCATGCAAGAGCAAAGTGATGGTTTCTTATCCCAGGGAATGCATGAACTAATAAAATGCATATTTTGAATGCAATGTAAATTGAATGATCACATATAGTTATGGTTAGATCCAATAGTTGCAACAGGCTAAGCCCTGGAGAAGAGAATAATTTCCCTTTGATGTTTGAATAAATCAACAACACAAAAGCATGAGTATAATGTACTGTACACTTTCACATGAATGACTGAAGCATCTCTCCATTCATTACAAGAAGCCATTCATGGTCCATCTGAATCATTGACCTAATCCAGGAATGAGAGAAGTGAGGATGAGTACTTCCTGTTCTAGAGCTGTGAAAGAGTGTGGCTGACACTGTCCACTCAGCACTGAAGAACAAGTCTATCCATTCATTCATCTTCCTCATCAGAGAATACACACACACAGCTTGTTTATAGAAAACATCTGGACACAATTACCCGCTCTGCAGAAAGGAGAGCAACAGTTTTTGTTGCCGCTGGAGTTCAGGGGAGGGAGAACAAACAGGGCTGTTATTTACACACGGGAAAGAAAGAGAAACTCACCCCGATTCCTCCGCACGGCAGTCTCACGAACATGGGAGTCACTGAACCTATTGAGAGAGAGAGAGAGATTGTGGTTACTGATATTCTTCTTAAATATCAGAAAATCTTCTGAATGGATTCGAAAATGGTAAAACCCAACTGTTTAACTCTGGGGGGAGTGGTAAAATGAGCCTATTTCCAAAAAAAGTGGAGTATCTCTTTAAAAAACTGAGATGCGATGCAATAGCTAAAGACGTCCTTTTGACGCACATAGACCAACAAAAAATAAATAAAAAAAAAATCACACAAAAAAATCAGCACATATGGACCACCAACTGCAACTACTCAAAATGACCACATTGACCATCCCTAGTTATTACAGCACAAACACACATGCAATAATCCAACATTTCTCAATGAGGCAAAGCACCTATTGATTAAAATTGCCCCATTTTTCAAATCAACAGTGCTTCTAAAACAACACATTGTAGCAACTAACATCAAAAGTCTGTTAATCAGATTGTAAAGGTGGAACTGTTATGTCGTCTCTGTGCCCGACGAGTGTGAAATATCCGTGTGTGTGTGTGTGCGTCGTTTAAGCATGTGTTTGATCGCTGCACGAGGGGGCCGGAGCTGAAGTCATGGAAAACCGCATGTGTGGTTGTTATTGGCAGAGAGGTGACGGGCTTGACGGACAGCTCAGGGGCAGACTCAGATCAAGGCCATGACTGATGAAAGCGGAGAGTGAGCTGACAGGGGCGAACGGGAACAACAACGGGCCAAAAAAAGAAATGAAACCAATTGCAGCATTTAGGAAACATGCTGTAAGGCGGATCTGGCTGCAGAAGCGTAAATAATGTGGATAACTGCACAGGTCCAGACGCAGTGCTTCATAACTGAGAAGGCCATCGGAGGCTCCAACTGTCGCACAACTGTCACAAAACTCATTGTGGTGAAGTCAGGTGTGTGTGTGTTCTCTTACTGTCCAGTTTTTGTCTGAGTGGGTTGGTTCCATAGAGCAGCACATGGGCTTCAGAGTGGACCGTCTGCAGCTCCTCCAAAGTGGCTTTCCTGCCTCGAATACACTGCAAAAAAATGAACAATAGAGTTAAGAGTGTTGCATTGGGATTGAGGTCCGCCGGGCCCCAATGCAAATCTTGTACCGTTTAAGTACTTGCAACCAATGCAACTGTTTAAGTACTTGCAACCAATGCAACCGTTTAAGTACTTGCAACCAATGTAACCGTTTCAGTACTTGCAACCAATGTAACCGTTTAAGTACTTGCAACTAATGCAACCGTTTAGGTATTTGCAACCAATGCAACCGTTTAAGTACTTGCAACCAATGCAACCGTTTAAGTACTTGCAACTTATGCAACCGTTTAAGTACTTGCAACCAATGCAACCGTTTAAGGTATTTAAGTAAGTACATTTATTTGTTCTCGTGAGGAAATTTGTTTGCATAGCAATCACTTGCAACCAATGCAACCGTTTAAGTACTTGCAACCAATGTAACCGTTTAAGTACTTGCAACCACAACCAATGCAACCGTTTAAGTACTTGCAACTAATGCAACCGTTTAAGTACTTGCAACCAATGCAACCGTTTCAGTACTTGCAACCAATGCAACCGTTTAAGTACTTGCAACTAATGCAACCGTTTAAGTACTTGCAACCAATGCAACCGTTTAAGTACTTGCAACCAATGCAACCGTTTAAGTACTTGCAACCAATGCAACCGTTTAAGTACTTGCAACCAATGCAACCGTTTCAGTACTTGCAACCAATGCAACCGTTTAAGTACTTGCAAGCAATGCAACCGTTTCAGTACTTGCAACCAATGCAACCGTTTCAGTACTTGCAACCAATGCAACCGTTTAAGTACTTGCAACTAATGCAACCGTTTAAGTACTTGCGACCAATGCAACCGTTTAAGTACTTGCAACCAATACAACCGTTTAAGTACTTGCAACTAATGCAACCGTTTAAGTACTTGCAACCAATGCAACCGTTTAAGTACTTGCAACCAATGCAACCGTTTCAGTACTTGCAACCAATGCAACCGTTTAAGTACTTGCAACCAATGCAACCGTTTAAGTACTTGCAACCAATGCAACCGTTTCAGTACTTGCAACCAATGCAACCATTTCAGTACTTGCAACCAATGCAACCGTTTAAGTACTTGCAACTAATGCAACCGTTTCAGTACTTGCAACCAATACAACCGTTTAAGTACTTGCAACCAATGCAACCGTTTAAGTACTTGCAACTAATGCAACCGTTTCAGTACTTGCAACCAATGCAACCGTTTCAGTACTTGCAACCAATGCAACCATTTCAGTACTTGCAACCAATGCAACCGTTTAAGTACTTGCAACTAATGCAACCGTTTCAGTACTTGCAACCAATACAACCGTTTAAGTACTTGCAACCAATGCAACCGTTTCAGTACTTGCAACCAATGCAACCATTTCAGTACTTGCAACCAATGCAACCGTTTAAGTACTTGCAACTAATGCAACCGTTTAAGTACTTGCAACCAATGCAACCATTTCAGTACTTACAACCAATCCAACCGTTTAAGTACTTGCAACCAACCCAACTTGCAACCGTTTAATCTACCGTTTATATTTTTAGAGCCTCACAATTCTGATTTTAACATTTTAAATTATTTTATGACATAAAAACATATTTCAACAGGTTGCAAATGTTTTGAGTTTACATTACACAAGACGATTCTGTCCAAAAACATGGGTTTTTATGAAACGTATTGTCATGTGCACTTATTCAGAGGACAAATAATTATCAGTTAATGTTTAGAAATAATATTTGTATGAGTAGTATATGCAACAAGAATGAGTTTTTTTCTCACATGTTGAAAGGCTATGGAATATCTTTGCACAACACATTCTGTTTATCTTTGGTTTTGGTTGTGAAAGGCTGTGAAATTGTGGACAACACATTCCATGTTTGCTCATATGTTTGTTATCCACTCCAAAAAATGTCCTCATCTCCTTCCCCACGTACCGACAAAGCCGTAGTGTTAGCATTAGCCGCTATGCTTTTTTGGCTAACGGTTGCAGGCTTGCTTCCAGTGGCTTTGATATAATACAATCAGCCGAACAGGTAAACCGCTTCACAACCTTCATGCAAACAATTATAACCTGAACTTTCAGGGAAAATGTTTTTAAACAAAGCCTGAAAGAGTTGTCGGAAGCTTAGTGACAATGAGGTCATGTGACCGCCGTGTAGTTCGTTTAAAGCCAACAATTGTATTTACGCTTCACAGTTGTGTTAAATTGTGAAAATGATTATTATTATTAAGGTCACAGACCTTATTTTCTCCAAAAGATGCAATGAAAAAGTCAATGGAAAAATCCTATAGGGTTTTTGTCGAGGGAACCAGGGGTGATGCTAACTCCGGGATGGCCTACAAAAATACATCATCCCAGCAAAACTCAATACGCCGACTAAAGTCTTTAGCAGTCGTAGCAGAGCTGAAACAGGCCCACGGTCCACCTCCCACTCTAAACCGGGCCCCACATGCCTGTAGAACAAAGCCACCGGCCCTCGGAGGTGCCGGAGCTGCTTTCCCCTGTTTTAATAGCCCTGGCCTCCGAGACGCAGACCATCCGAGAGGGAGGTGGACCTGCCCACCTGTGGAAGCGCTCTGGGGAGGGTTCTGCCGAGGTGACACCTGCAAAAGGACGTACTACCTCTCGGATTTAACAGCATGGGCCGTTAAAGAGGGGCCCGGTGCAGGCTGGCGGCAGCTTAAAACAACCCCACACTCTTTAAGGGCCCCCCTGCTGTAGATTAGGGGGTATTAGAGTCATGACTGCCTTTAATTGAGGCCCAATTCACTGTTTCCATCTCCCAGAACAATAAACATCCCCACCACGAATGTAGGCGAGAGAGCAGACGCGCGGCCGTGCCATTGTGGTGCTTGTTTACTTGTTTGTTTGGAAGAAAACAGAGACCGCAGCTACGCGACTGCCTCGAACAGGCCTGACGCAATGGAGCCAGCGTGGCAGGAGAGATTAGATCCAGCGAGAGCCATTAGGCACCAGCGATCAGGACTCCAGATGATGAGAGAGCTCAGGAATTGCCCTGAGCAGGTGGAGGCAGAGATAAGCAAGCACACACTGCTTTTTCCTGCGCTAACTTTGAGGGGAAAATGTGGGAAAGGGAGTAAAATAATGCTATTTATAACTCAAAGCATAGTATATTTAGTAAACTAACTGTGGGGAGCTTCGTGTGGGCCCACAAGTCTGCAAAAAAATCAGATTTTTGATTTTAATTTTAAAAATAAGTAAGTTGCATGATTATGAAACATTTAGAATTAAATTACGACACAATCGTTCAAAAAAATGGAATGGAATTAATACTTTTATTCAGCAAGGATGCATTATATTAAACAAAAGTGGCAGTAAAGTCTTTTACATTTTACATATGCTTTTTTTTTTTTAATTTATATTCATTAAAGGATCCCGAAAAAAAAAGGATTACGGTTTCCACAAAAATATTAAAGGATTAGTTAACTTTAAAAAAAAAAAAAACTTTTGCTGATAATTTACTCACCCCCATGTGATCCAACATGTCTACATCCTTCTTAAATCGAAAAGAAATTTAGGTTTTTGATGAAAACATTTCAGGATTTTTTTCCATATAATGGACTTCATTGGGCACCAAACGGTTCAAGGTCCAAATGAGGGTTTCAGTTCATTAAAATGAACTAATCTTTATTCAAGTCATTTGGTTCATTCAACGAACAAAATGAACGAAAAGACTCAAAAAAAGATTTGTTCACTTTGATGAACGAGTTTGAACAGGAGAGTCACGAACGCAAATCAGAACAGAGCAAGAAGAGCATTTGTGCTTATAAAGCGTAAACTTATTTATTTATTTTTGAAATGACCGATCGTTTCGCTTGATAAGACCCTTATTCATCGTCTGGTGTCGTTTAAAGCCCTTTGAAGCTGCACTGAAACTCTCATTTGGACCTTGAACCGTTTGGTTCCCATTGAAGTCCATTATATGGAGAAAATCTTGGAATGTTTTCATCAAAAACCTTAATTTCTTTTCGACTGAAGAAAGAAAGACAGGGACAACTTGCATGACATGGGGGTGAGTAAATTATCAGCAAGAGTTTTTTTTAAAGTGAACTACTTGACATGATTAATAATAATAAAATTTATGAACAGCAAATCAGCATATTAGTATGATTACTTAAGGATCATGTGACTGAAGACTGGAGTAATGATGCTGAAATTTCAGCTTTGATCACAGGAATAAATAACATTTAAAAAAAAAAAAAACAGTATTTTATTTTTTTACAATATTAATGTTAGCCTTGGTGAGCAAAAGAGACTTGGAAGAAAAAAAAAAAAAAAAAAAAAAAAAACAAATCTTACCGGCCCTAAACTAATTTTTAGTAGGTTACTAATGTCATTAAAATGGAAAATGTGACTCATCGGTACAAAGGCCAGATGTGGCTGCTTCCATTGAAACATAAGATGCTCTCCGGCTCATTCTCAGATCACGCTGGAGAACATGATCATCAGAGATTTGAGCAAACCTGTAGTGTTCATTAGAGGAACAAGTGGAACAAACCAAATTTGTAATGAAAAATTTTGTATTAAAATAATTTCACAAGTGTTCTCATACATTTGAACCCCTTCTGTAATCCACCAGCACTTCCTCTGCTCTTATACAGTATGAAAGTTGTCTGCCTCTTTTTCTCCAAAAACATACTCAACTCAATCTCATCCCCCCCTTTTCCGTTGAGTAAAACTCTTTGGTTTATTCATAAAGTTTCATCAAAGGGAGTGTGTGGCTGTGTTAGTGATGGCTGAACAGCGCCCTCTCCAGATCGAAAAAATATCCTTCACATTGATAAAGTTACCAAGCAGGACGGCGACATAAATATGTTTAGTGCTGAAACATCATCTCACGTTAACGCTAAGTCATAAACACACAGATGTGAGCGAACGAATTACCTCACACTGGCCGCGCAGTCCTGTCTCCTGCAGTCGAGACCAGATGCTCTGGATGCGTCCGGCGTGCTCGGGGTGGATGTTACTGTTTCCACACATGCACTGGTGTTTCTGCATCAGGGTGTCGTACACCAGTCCTGTAGGGGCACAAATACTTATTTTAATCGGGGATATCAAACAACCTAATATGATAAGATTTAATATCCAGATGCTTAGTTGTTTTCCTTAGTTGGTAATCCCATGGCAATGATATCTAATCCAGTGACTGACCGGTGGTAAAGCGTGGTTTGGCTGCTGGTTCCTGGACCACAATGGGAAAGGTCGCCGAGGCTGGGGACGATTGTGCCCTGGACAGGGGCCGATGGCCTGGGAAGGTCACAGACAGTCCGGCCGCCTCCATGGACGCCTGATAGTTCCTCAGCTGATGGATCCTCTGTTGCTCCAACAGGAGAGCTTGCTGCTCAGAGACAAGAACAGACGTTTTCTCATGAAATAGATGTGAAACTTTGCAAGCGGATTTGTGGAAACAAACAGGTGTTTTTTGAAGGTTTCATCCCTCACACACAGATGGAAATCTAATGCTTTAGGCATACTGCAGTTACACACATAACCAGCAGGTGGCACTCAATACATTGAAAAATACAGACAAGAGCGTTTTAAGTAGAAAATCCTTCATATTTGGAACATCAAGGAGAAAGACTTCATATTATGCTAATTAAAGTGAGAGTGTTTTAAACTACACTTTACATATTCACAATGTTTTGCATCCATCTGTTCAAGACGTGAAATGTGAAAAATGGTGATTTCTAAGGTCTGAAGACAGGAAACATACAGTATGTTCAAGGTAGTTTGTTTACCATTCAAAATTTGGGGATTGCAAGATTTTTGAAAGAAGTCTCTTATGCTCACAAAGGCTGCACTGAATTGATCAAATATGAAGAAATGTTGTGATGTATTATTTAAAATAAATGTTCATGATTTGAATACACTTTAAAATGTATTTTATTCCTGCGATGCAAAGCTAAATTTTCAGCGTCATCACAACAGTCTTCAGTGTCACATGATCCTAATATGATGATTTGCTCAAGAAACATTTCAAGAAACATCACTATCTCTCATTAACTAATATATATATATATATATATATATATATATTAATTAATTAATGTTTTATATATATATATATATATATATATATATATTAAAAATAAAAGTTTGTGTTTACATAATAATATATGGGTCCACTGTGTATAATATATATATATATATATATATATATATATATATATACTCACACATGCTTGTATATATTTAAGAAATATTTTCACATATAATTATATTATATATAAATATTTTATATATAAATAATATTTTTTTCTTAAATATACATGCATGTGTGTGTATTTATATATACATATATATTATATATATATATATATATATATGAAGAGTTCAGATGCAAAAGCCTCTAAGTGCCATTTCAAATTTTCTTCTAGAATGATCATTTTTTATCAAGCTTGTATATTTAAGTTCAGTGATTTCACTTAAATGGCAATGATAATTACCTATTAATTGTTATTTAAGTGAAATTACTGAACTTAAATATACAAGTTTGATAAAAATCATCATTAAAGAAGAAAAATTCAAATGGCATTTAGAGGCTTTTGCATCTGAACTCTTCATATATATATTTTTCATGATTCTCTGATGAATAAAAAGTTCAAAAGAACAGCATTAGACATATTTTTAACGCATTTTAGCTGAATGAAATTATTAATTTCCAAAAAGCAACAAAATCTTACTGACCCCAAACATTTGAACAGTAGTAGTTATTTCAATTTATACTCTAAGAGACAGGCATTGTATCCATCAAATATGTGCTTGGTCGTGTCTAAAGCTCACATGAGTTTTTCCGTGATCATTATACAGTGTGTGATGTTATGCATCCTTGAGCTGGTCTGAAACCTCAGGAAGTTTAGAAAAAAAAAATGTTAATGTTTTTTTTTTTTTTTTTTTACAAAGTTCTGCCTGTTAATTGGCAGCTATCCTCAGTTTCGGACACAGCTTTAGTTAGCTGATGAATATTTCAGTTTGATTGCAGGAACACGCAGAGGGTTTCAAAACCCCTGCTGCTCATTAAGAAGAAAAAGGATCTCGTCGAGCACAAGTGCACACTTCCTGTTCATATTAAAAAGCATTGATTAAGCATTGAGGACCTGTGGTTGCATTAAACAGTTAATGCGTTAAAAAAAACAAGTTTTTCAAGGATTGCACAAATAAACTCACATTAAGCCTTTGGCTTTTATGTTAATAAAAAACACTTTATTAAACTATTGCTTGTGCATTAATGAAACTGGCATATTATTGTGTGCACAGCTGTTTAGCTAGTAATTGCTCTTTTTGTATTTGACATAAACTCCCATTGTTTTTTGGCAGCTTTAAAGGGATACTCCACCCTATTTTCATATTAAACTATGTTATTCCCTTGACTAAGACGAGTTAATACACACCTCTGTCGTCTCAGTGCGTGTACTCAATCGCTCTGGTGCGCGAGACACTTTGATAGCACTTAACTAGCCCAGTTCATTCAATATGGGCCAGGCAGAGAAGCGACAAAACACCTCCACGTTTTCCCTATTTAAATACAGTTACACGAGTAGTGTAACTCCATCTAGGACGGTGACACAAAAAAATAAAACGTTGCACTTTTCTAAGTGTGTAAAATGGATAACTATAATATATGGCTGAATACCACAGCAAGTGCCTGGGACAAAGAATTGGAAAGCTAAGACTTCATATCTTTCGTATCAAAGAGTAACCGAAAGTAACAAAGCACAGAACTTGCTGCGATTTATTGGAAGCTACAAATAATGTTTAGTGAAGTTGTTTACGCATCAACTGAAAAAAAGCATATGGATATTGTTTTATCAAAATGATGAAAAACAATATTTTCAACTCAGCCCTAAAGTTAATAAACTGAATATGTCCCGTGGGGTAAATGACATTATATCATTCGAACCTGGCCAAGCTGAGTGCCAGTCACACAGCCTAACAAAGCTTGCTGGAAATAGGCTTTCCTACTAATGTAAACCAATATTTAAATAGTCTAAAAGTATTGAAGTGTCTCTCTCCCATGTGTCCCGCAATAATCAGGTGGTCAGCCTGACCCTCACCTGTCTGAACAGCAGCTCTTCCTCAGCTTGTCTCTCTCTCTGCGAAAACTCTTCGTCCTGTTCATCCAGAGGTTCCTGTTTGACGATGACCCCGTGAGGAAGACCCTCGGAGGAGTCTCCCAGCCCCTGGTGCTCCCTCAGCTCCTCCTCCGTCTCCTCCGGGTGGCTCTCGTGCTGTCGGCCCGGCTCGTTCGGCTTAGCCATCATCTGAGAGAGGTGAAGAAACACATCATCACTTCATCCGATCAATCAGACTTCTACACATATAGATTAATCATTTACAATAGAATGTATATTCAACAGTGTCAGGGAATAACTAACTAAAATTAGCAATGCCACTAAATTAGTCAGTATGATCTTTTTTCCTTTTTTCCTTTAAGATGTAGGTGTCTTTGTTTCCAGAGTATTTTCAATTTTAATATTTTTAGGTCAAACCGTTCTTGTCTGTCAGTCATATAATGGAGGTCTATGGTCACCACCTCAAAGAGCATGCACAGAGAAGTCCAAATTAAACCTGATTTAATGACTCGTAAATGTAAGTACACATTGATGGCCTAAGACACGAAACGAGCGGTTTCTGTGAGAAAACGAACAGTTTTTAACTCATGTAACCACAGCCACGTCCAAGTGATCTGAAGGCACGGACGCTTCGGTCTGAGCGCCGGAAGTGATCTCTTGCGCGTGTACGTCACTTATTGTATACACAGAGATTTCAGAAGCGTTACCCTTCACTGTGAAGATCTAAACATATTTAGATATACAGAAAATCGCAATGGAAGATTTTGATATATAATAACAGATAACGTTGCATTTTTTTCACAACCGCGCAAGAGATCCCTTCTGGCACTTGTACAGACCGAAGCGCCCATGCCTTCAGATCACTTAGACGTGGCTGTGGTTACAAGAGGTAAAAACGATATAAATACTGTTAGTTTTCTCACACAAACCGCTCGTTTTGTTGCTTGATTTGGACTTCTCTGTGCATGCTCTTTGAGGTGGTGACCATAGACCTCCATTATATGACTGACAGACAAGAACGGTTTGACCTAAAAATATCAAAATTGAAAATACTGCGGAAACAAAGACACCTACATCTTGGAAGCCCTTGAGGTAAGCTAAAACATACCAAAAATTAATTTCAAAGTGAACTATCCCTTTAAAAATTGTACCAAGCCCAAACTCATGAAATGGTAGTGTATTTTTCCGAAGGTTAAAATAAAAGATAAAAGATACAAATTTGAACAGTATATTATCTGTTTTGTTTTGTTTTAGGTTGTAGTGTAGCTAACACATTCTCTAAAAAGCATAAGCCCTTAAAGTCAACATAAAATTGTCCCTATTTAATTTATCAATACACCTCTTTTAAACACCAAATAGCCTGTTTCATTTAGAAATACATTCCTTAATGGATGTAAAAAAGGTAGTGAAATTTGAACAACTAACACAGTCTCATCCCAAAAAGTCATATAACTGACGTTTTGGGACGTCTTTTGACCATACGTCAATATCCGCCTTTTTAGGGCCCCCTTAAACGTCGGTAGATGGCGATCCCGGGCCGTCATACAACTGACGCTTTACCTTTAACGTCAGTTAGGTGACGGGTTAGGTTTAGGGTTAGGTTTAGGTCTGGGGTAGAGTTAGGATCCCATAACCTCATCTACCGACGTTTAAGGGGGCCCTAAAAAGGCGAATATTGACGTATGGTCAAAAGACGTCCCAAAACGTCAGTTATATGACGTCTTGGGATGAGACCGGGTTGGAACAACAGAAAAGGAATTCATAAGACAATGACTTCAGAACACATCTGCAACACACACACACAAATATCTTCTGAAAAAAAAAAAAAACACACACACAGTTAAAGCTACAGTATTTGAAAAACTTATTTGAAACGTGAATGAATTTTAATTTTAAATAGTAGCTAGACTAAGCTAGGCTAAAATAAATAAATAAATAAATTTGTGATGTCTGTGATGTTTTTCTGTTTTTTTTTTTTTTTTTATAAATTTGTACTTAAATTTACTTACTTAAATTTAATAGATAGCTACTTAAATGTCCCTGTAAAGGGACAAATAAATATTTTACTACTACTACTTACTACTACAGTTGCTTTAAATAACATTCCTGGAACAAAAGAAACTGTCCTCTTGGCTCAAGTTCATGCTGTGACAGCTGTCTCTAACCCTATTACAGTGAAAATGACAGCTCTAGCCCCGCCCTCACCCCGCACACACACACACTGGAGTCGAGTAAAAACACGAGCCCCTGGCACTGTGCCAAGGGAACATAATTGACGTCAGAGCGCTCTGCAATTGCCTCATCTGTGTGCTTCATTCCAAACAAGCTTTTCTTTTTTCAGATTCTCCTCTTTGTTTTCCTCACCACAACTACATCTCTCCCTTCAGCTAAGTGAACACGTTCATGTCATTTCTTTGTAAAAGGAATCAGTCAAAGCCAAAATGACGGGAGTAATCCAAAATTTGAGGACAAACATCATAAATCTCCTCACAAGGATGACATGATTTTAAACGTCTAGATGCCACAGATATATACATACTAGATACAATTTGAAAGCTTTCCAAAAACATCTCAATAAAAACATCTCCCAGGCCTTTTTGCCATAAAGTTGAGTGAAACATCAGTGTTAGCAGCTCAGCACACAAACGCTGGCAGGTATGGCTTGGGTCATGAATATTAATTCAGTTATTTGAATTCTGTCATTATTGATCCATCCCTTGGTAAACGATGGTGAGCAAAGGCTGTCAAGCTCAAAAAGTGACAAAGCACCATAAATGTAGTCTTGAGTACTATATTGAAGGCTTTATTGAAACTATGAAAACTATATTGAACTAGTTAGCTGAAACCAGACGATAGCATGAATGAAGAAAGCAAAGAAATGAAGACATTATTTACTTCAATAGTTGTCAAACACCAAGCATGGCAGCGAACAAAATAGAGCAAATCACCTTTTTGAAAATACATTGGCGCTTCAAACATAAATATAGTATCGATTATATAATTACGCCTCCAAATGGCGACAATGACTGTTAAAGGGATACTCCACTTTTTTTGGAAATAGGCTCATTTTACCACATTTTACCATCTGTTTTTAGCTAAGAATAAAATAAAAGAGTTACACTGTGTAGCTTTAAAGGGATACTTTTTTTGGAAATAGGCTCATTTTACCACTCCTCCAGAGTTAAACAGTTGGGTTTTACCGTTTTCGAATCTATTTAGCCGATTTTCTGATATTTAAAAGAATATCAGTAAACAGACAGTTTCTGGTCTCATTGACTTCCATAGTATATTTTTTTCCTACTATGGGTAGTCAATGATACCAGAAACTGTCTGGTTACTGAAATTCTTCTAAATATCAGAAAATCGGCTGAATGGATTTGAAAACGGTAAAACTCAACTGTTTAACTCTGGGGGAGTGGTAAAATGAGCCTATTTCCAAAAAAAGTATCCCTTTAAAGCTACACAGTGTAACTCTTTTATTTTATTCTTAGCTAAAAACACTTAGTTCTTTCAAAAATATGTGTGCTCATTAATGTATATTTACTTCGTTTAAGTAATAAAGTATTCTCGTGAGTGTATAATATGCAATTGAAAATACATACGGGTAAGGGGTTCTAATGTCGGTCGCCATGTTGTCCCTCCATCTCGAAAGTACATTAGCCAAAGAGGGACATACCCGTTAATTCAAGCTTCGCCTTTCGCGTTTACGTTTGAGTTAACACTCATGGACGAGGTCGAACTGGAAGCCATGTTAATCTTGGACTACATTGGCCACCGTAGGAGTTAAAACGAAATCGGAATTGAGAGGAACAGAAACTAATATTCACTGGATGGTCATATACCTTTTCACCACTAGATGGGGGTGAAAATCACACAGTGTAGCTTTAAAAAAATTAATCTGTCATTGAATCATTCATTCAAGTGATTCGTTCAAAAACGCTCATTCGTCCAGTGAAACAAGAGAAGCGAGTCATTGAATAATTCCATTTCTATATGAAACAAAAAAATATGTGATTCTCAATGTATCCAGAATTGTGCAGCTCTTGACATTCTTCACCAGGGCAGCTGTTAAATCTCATTCACGTTTGACTACATTTAAAAGTGGCGATGATGATGCCAAACTTTTGATGATGCCAAACATTTTGGCTTTTATGTCTCATTGCAAGACCCTAAATTTGATTATACGTACATTTAAATTGCACAAATGAGATTTAGTGTACAGTGTAGGGGACCATTTTACACTATTATATGTCTTCAGAGTTGGAAATGTATGGATTATTAAGTTTCACATATGTGAAATAGGTCAAAAAGCTCACGTGAATTTAGGCCACACAAATAAAGTGCAAAAGTGCAAGGTGCGCAAAATGTTTTCGTGTGAATTGCACTTAATTTGTGGCCCCTGAACAATAAATTCAATTGAGATTTTTGGTCTATGTCTTGTGTGCAGATCTTCTTTTATCATTTTTACATTTTTGAATCTGATTCTATTCATTTCACCTGTTTTGGAATAGTGTCAACAGCAAAGTTTGGAAGTTTGGAATAGCGCTACACTTTTCCGTTCTCCCCACTTGACTATTAAGTTTAACATTTTACCATGTTTAAATCTATTTCACATATTTTTTCCTAAAAGCATTGTATAAAATGCACAAATTATGGCCACAGATGTCATGCACTGGACCTACTTCGATATGCGGAAAACCACATGCACAGATTCACAACATGTGCCTTCCCACATCTCCACAGCAAACTTCTAACTTCTAAAATATGGGAATGGACTGAAATCTAAATAGCGTACGCATTGCTTGGGAAGCATTAAATCCTCTGACATCTGCTGAGCAAAGAGGCCGTATTCCCAGAAGCCCCGAGTGTAGCGCTGAGGTGATCCACACCCAGTGATCTCATTCCGACATGTTTGTGTGCAGGCATGGATTAACTCCATAACTAATCTATAATGCACATTTCCAGCGGTGGGGGTCAACACTAGTAATCTCGGCAGACTTCAACACACACTACATGAGCAAACATGAGGAGGAATAAAATGAGCACAGCAAGTACTTTTCCTCATTCATTCTTTTCCTATAGGGATTTAAAATCCTTAAATGAAAAGTTCATGAAGCAAATCAACACGACTTCTTTCATTACAAATGAAGTAATTGCAAACTTTACACATTGCAAACTTTGTTCCAAATCAAAAAAAAAATATATGTAAAAGTATATGAGAATGCAGGCGTTAAGTTTAGGAAAGAATGAACTGCTCATCCCATCAAGCATTTTTATTATTTAAAAAAAAAAAAAATGATACAATACAAACAATATTTACGGAACAGGATTAGGGCCAAGCAATAATAAAAAAAAAAAATCTCGAGATTAAAGTCATTATAATGCGAGATTAAACTCGTTAAATTTCGAGAAAAAAAGTCAAAATACAATCTTGAGAATAAACTCATTCAATATCGAGAATAAAGTTGTTGTGTTGCGAGAAAAAAACTCGCTAACTTTCGAGAAAAAAGTCGAAATCTCGATATTTAATGAGTTTATTCTCAAGATTGTATTTCAACTTTTTTCTCGAAATTTAACAAGTTTTTTCTCGAAACACGACTTTATTTTCGATATTTAATGAGTTTATTCTCAAGATTCTATTTCGACTTTTTTCTCGAAATTTAACGAGTTTAATCTCGCATTATAATGACTTTAATCTCGAGATGGTTTCATTTTTTTATTATTGCTTGGCCCTAATCCTTTTCCATAAATATTGAATTATAGTTACTGATTTATTTATTTATTACATTTATCTGCAAAATACTTTCTTATATACAATTGAATAAGTAGGTAAAAAAAGCCATATTCATTCATAATTTTCCAGCAAAAAAAAATAATGTTTCACAAAAAACACTTCAATTCAAAAGTCTGCGGTCAGTTTTATATATATATATATATATATATATATATATAAATGACAACTGTTTTCAGCATTGATAATAAGAAATGTTTCTTGAATATCAAATCAGCAAATTATTATGATTTATAAAGAATCACGTGACACTGAAGACTGGAGTAATGATGCTGAAAATTCAGCTTTTCATCACAGGAATAAATTACATTTTAAAATATATTAAAATAGAAAATGATTTTAGTCATTTCAAAAATTTACTTTATTTTGGATCAAATAAATGCAGCCTTGGTGAGCACAAGGGAACTAGTGGTAGTGGTCGTGCAAATTTTATTTATTTATTTTTTTAATAAGAAGGATTATTTTTTTTTTCTAAAACTTCAAAAATATAAATCTTTTAAGGTGGGACCAGCAGACAAAATAGTTACTTAAATCCTGTTTAACATAATTAATTTAACAGAATTACGCATTTCGGCCAAAATTCAGCAATTCTACTCATAGATCCAGTCTGGGTCCGCTCATGACTGCAGTCCCACATACACTCAAACACAGTAGCAGAGCGCTTCCGGTCTGACCATATAAGGACTGCACATCCTGCTGGTTGCCATGGTGATTAAGGGAGCTAAAGGCAGGCAGAATGCTGTACCTTGCTGATGTGAAGCTGCTGCTGCTGGAACTGTTGCTTGTGTTTTTCCAGGAACTGCTGGTGTTGCTGTTGAACCACCAGCTGCTGCAGCGCCTGGGCGTTCTGGGGCAGGGGGGCCGACTGCGTGCGTCCGAGGGGCCGATGCTGCCGGAGCTTATGGATGGGATGGGACTGCAGGGGCAAGCCACCCAGGCCTGGGGACACAACACATGGGCTTTGGGTTACACAGCAGATTCTAGTTAGCACTTAGCCCTGAACTAATTAACACCTTTGCCCGCTTTTGCTCTCTGGGGGTGAAGCTTCCTGAATACACACACGACTGAAGGTTTAAGCGCATCTCGTCTCAGTTTTAGGACAGAACACAGACCTTGAGGTGAGATTTTAAAGTGCAACGATCTCAAATTTAACAAAAACAACAACAACGCCCCCAGTAAAATATATTCATTTCAATAAAAGTAATAAAACGTACGTAAATCAATAGTGTGTATATGAAGAGTTCAGATGCAAAAGCCTCTAAATGCCATTTGAAATTTTTCTTCTTTAATGATGATTTTTATCAAACTTGTATATTTAAGTTCAGTAATTTCACTTAAATAACAATTAATAGGTAATTATCATTGCCATTTAAGTGAAATTACTGAACTTAAATATACAAGTTTGATAAAAATCATCATTAAAGAAGAAAATTTCAAATGGCATTTAGAGGCTTTTGCATCTGAACTCTTCATATATATATATATATATATATATATATATAATATTTTCAGATCATTAAGTATGATTTACATAATAATATAATTTACATAATAATATAAAATAAAATGTAATCTTTAAACAGTAAAATATAAAAACTGCATGTGTGTATGTATGTATTTATGTGTGTATGTACAGTATATATGAAGAGTTCAGATGCAAAAGCCTCTAAGTGCCATTTGAAATTTTCTTCTAGAATGATAATTTTTATCAAGCTTGTATATTTAAGTTCAGTAATTTCACTTAAATTGCAATGAAGATTACCTATTAATTGTCATTTAAGTGAAATTACTGAACTTGAATATATAAGCTTGATAAAAATTATCATTCTAGAAGAAAATTTCAAATGGCACTTAGAGGCTTTTGCATCTGAACTCTTCATATATATATATATATATATATATATATATATATTTCATAGTTGTATAATAGTCCTTATATCTAAAAAATATATAAATAAATATAATAAACGTGTAATTCAATAAACAGTGAGTGAACACACACACATGATCAATTAATACTAACAATTTCTTATCTCTTCTATTCCATTTATATATATATATATATATATATATATTTTTTTTTTTTAAGCTGCATTAGACTAAACTGGGAAGGGTCACGACACTTGCGTACTGTAGTCTATTTTTAGTTTAATTGCTTCTGTTGCTCTCACCACTTGAAAGTCGCTTTGGTTAAAAGCGTCTGCTAAATGATTAAATGTAAATGTAAATATATACACACATAATGATGGATCACCGGAGCAAAAGCTATTCAGTCAGAAAACTTTTTTTTTCTCATAAATTGTTTAAATGCCATTATTGCGCCACTCTGCTTCAGACACACTCCCCGTCCGTCCCAGGGGCTTGACACTTCCTGTTTGTACCCTTCCTGCACACTGGATTTGCTCATCTCCCTGACAACAGTGGGCGGAGAAAAGGTAAGCTCTTTAACGTGATGGTCTTTGATGGCACAAATCATTAGTCCGAATTGACTGCGCCAGTGAGGCGTCTCTCTCTCTCATCCTCAGGATAAGTATTGACCTCTTCTTATTGCCAGCCTCCCTCTCCCGTCTCTCGTGAAGCCGTTCCTGGCACATCGGGAGGCTAATTAACACCGCCTATGACTAATTTGATTAAAATGAGCCTTCTTTAGTGCGTATCGGAGGAAATTGAATCCAATTTATAAAGGACGCTGCATAACCTATGCTGGACTAATTACAAGCAGTAAATGCATGACAACCGCAGGGAGAACGGAGCGCAACGCATTATGATCCTGCGAGGCCCCGGGGCACCTGGCTGTTTGGAGGCCCCCCCTTTGGTGCAATTTGGAGATATAATGTGCAAATAATGGGAAATTATGTCACAAATGTGAGAAATATTTGTGTATTACGAGAATCAACGAACCATGCGAATAATACATTTGAGTAATACAACACTCGCAAAGATTAATTATTAAATCTAACATTTTTCCCAAAATGGAAGCAGTGGTGTTAAGTGTCAGATGCTTTAGGGTAAGATGTGCCGATGTCAAACTGCCGAACAAATTTAAGTGGGACTGTCTTCATTCCTTCCTTCCTTTCAAAGAAAATAAGACATTTCATATTTCCCTACAACAAAATAACATCAGCTAAAATGTAGAATAATGGCATAATCTGTTCAATAAATAATCGTTTTTATAAACACCCCTCCCCCTCTTCTTTTGTGAATGTTTAAAACATAACTAAAAAGATAATGACATAATATTCAAAATTAACATTTTGAATATTAAACTTTGTATGGCTGCTTTATGGATATCTTCAAGAAAATGTAAATAATAGCTAGTAAAAAAAAATTGCAACATGCATTTCTATTTTTTAGAATTTTTAAATATTGCACGTCTCATTATAGATATTTAAGAAAAGGTGAATAATGATGATAAAATCTTGGTGAATAAAGGTGAAGAAAAATGCATCTATTTTTATTTTTAATATAAATCAATAAACAAATTGAAAGCAAAATAAATTTGAATATTACATTTTAAAAGTTTCGTTTACAGATACCTTTAAGAAAATATGAAAAATTTAAATTAATTTAAAATTAAACTTTGAAACATAATAGTGCATTCTTATATTGTATATTTTAATATATCATAATATAATAAACTGTGAATAATGAAATAAATAATATAAAACATTGAAACATAATAGTAGATATATTGTATTTGTAAGAAGTATGGATGGATGGATGGATGGAATTTGAATACTAATATAATATAATATAAAAAACTGTGAATAATGAAACAAATAATATAAAACAATGAAACAATAGTGGATATATTGTATTTCTAGGGTGGATGGGTGTGGATGGATGGATGGATGGAATGGATGGATGGATGGATGGATAGATGAATAGATGGATAGATAGATAGATAGATAGATAGATAGATAGATAGATAGATAGATAGATAGATAGATAGATAGATAGATAGATAGATAGATAGATAGATAGATAGATAGATAGATAGATAGATAGATAGATAGATAGATAGATAGATAGATAGATAGATAGATAGATAGATAGATAGATAGATAGATAGATAGGTTAACACTCAACACTCACCCCATCTCTGCAGGTAAAATGTATCGTGCTAACATTAATATGGGTTATTATGACTGAGACTGACCTGCGAGGGAGTTCTGAGCGGCGGACTGCTCCAGAAGCACCATATGCTGGAGGAGTGTGTTGTGTGCCGAGCCGCTCTCCCGCTCTAAGGAGGAAGCAGTCAGGTAAGACGGCAGGTGGGCTCCTGGCATGAACGGAGTGGTTATGGGTATTCCTGGCACTGCCATTCTCTCACCATCCTGCTGGCCGGATGCCATCTATGTGAATAGAAAGAGAGAGAGAGGGATCATAAGCCAAAAAGAATCCAGGGCAAAGAAGAGAGGACATTCCCTCGTAAATAATTCTTGCGTGAGGATATTGCTTGCGTCAGTAAGCTGCGGTCAGCCATTGTCTCTCAAAAGGCTCTTTTTAAAATGCCACTGGTGCTGAAAAGCCACATGTGGCAACCTGACGGTCCAGACAGTGGAGTCTCTATGAGCGCACGCAAGAGGGCCGGCCCCCCGATGGAGAAAGAGAAAGATGGACTCACGCTGGAAGGGCCGGTGGCTGGCAGGCCCAGGGTGATGTTGGGAAGGGAGGGCGATGTGTACAGAGACAGCTGGCTAACAGGACCCTCTCTGCCGGCGAGTCTGTGTGCCAAAGATGGCTGGAACGACACACACACACACACAAACATATGCACAGATAAATAAACCCCACCGATAAAAACAAACAGCTCTGTCTGGTCGCTCTCCGGACCCCTGCGGGACGCGTCTACAGAAGGAGACTGTCGACGTCTGAAAAACATGCATGGAAACAGCCAGGAAAATTGCAGGACACTTCCCAAAGCTCCTTGACAAGTGTGACCACCAATAAAACTGAGCGAAAACTAAAAAGTACAGAGATTTACAGATCTATTTAAGAATACACCAATCAACAAGAGAGATGCCATGTGTTGCAGATATGTAATACTTATAAAGACGCTTTAGGCACAATGGAGGAAAGTGTGAAAAAAAAAATTAAATCCAAAGGGCTTTTATAAAACATTGGCAAAAATACCATGGCACATTCATTTGTATAATAATGCAAAATATAATTTCTAGTTTTTTTTGTTGTTGTTTTTTATCATCAATCTAGTTATAAAGTATGAATGTGATTATATACACATATACTGTACATGTGTGTGCATATATATATATATATATATATATATATATTATTATAAACTGATATATTAGCTTTTATCAACTTATGAACACCCTGGCAAACCCCAGTTTGGGAAAGTTTACCATGATAAAAACTTTACTCACTGCAAATGTTTACATGGAATTGGGAAGTTAACCAATTGTGGTCATACAGTCCTTCCAGTTTTTTATGATTGTTGCGGGCAAAAATCCTTGATTATGTGGCCCATTTTCTTTAAAAATGCGATGGAATATGCGGGATATTTATGCAATTTTATGCGATGAAATTTTATGTTTGATGAAAAGAGAGAAAAGAGTCATTTCTTATTACTTCCTATGATAAGCAAGCATACTAAATCACAGAAAGTGCTGGAATATTTAAGTTCTCATCTTGTTTTATTGCAGACTGTAATGAGTGGAAATAAGGTGTGGCCCTTTTAAGAGCTGCGCGCTCCCTGTTGAACTGTTTGCAGTATTATATTGTATATGCACCTCGAACACCCCATGTGTTCTTTTTAGCCTGACTTCGTCATACTCATATTCTAGTCAGAATATGAGTCTGATACCGCTCCGCAGGGCTTTGATTACGAGGCGTGTCTTAACCGGACCAGGAAAAACAAAAACTCTGCACTCAATTGGATAGTCGGTAAACCTACAACCAATCAGAGCAACGCAGTAAGTCAACTCCTTTGCATAGCGCAGTTTTCAACTACAGAACTTACTTATTTTAGAAGTTAAATAACGAGTGTTGCTTCTTTGACTTACTTCTCCGTGAGTGCGACCAAAGGAGAAACCACAACGACCACAGGCTTTTCATTACGTCCCATCTTCTTATCGACCGTCAGAGCCAGCTGATAAGTTACACTTTTGCCGAATCATGTTGGAAGGATGGCAAAAATATCTTTCCTATCGACAAATGCCTTGATTGCAGTTTTCTGTTCGTCGATTAAAATGAATGCGCTGTCGATTTATTTTACAACAGACGCGACAGCGGAATCTATACATCTCAATTCTCCAGCTGCAAGTCATCTCTCTTTGATAACCTGATGATAACGTCCCCGCAGATCATCTGTCCATCATCGTATAAAGCCCGCCCTGGCAATCTGATTGGCCCATTCATTTTTTGACTGATCATAATTGCTCCTCAATGGATCAAGTCCAGACCCAACTTCCCGACCACAAAATGTTGTGGGCGGGGTTCGGGCTGGCATCCAGGCTAACTTCTTTTATCTTATTTTTGCTTATTAAGTAACAATGTGGATGGTAGAACGTGTGACGGACAGTCATACGAGTTCGATTTGGGAACAAAGTGCTAGTCACCTCCGTGAGTCTGTCTGACCTCTGCATTAATTTCAGTGAGCTATCCCCATTTTTCTTCCCAACACAACGCGTTACAAGACCTTATAAACACAACAAACTTACAAAACATTGATGAGTCAAACAAGTTCTGTAGCTTTACAAAAGAAATATGCTACAACTTCTCTAAATATAAAAAAAAATAGGCATATAGGCTTTTCGATGATGTTCACGTCACGTAATTACGTCACTTCATAACGTTCCCATGGCAACGGGGGGAAATGGCCGCTCTTATGTGAAGCAAACGCAAAATTTTTCAACATTTTTCATTAGGGAAATCTGTAATTTATGCGGCGAAAGTGCGGCGTATTTGAAAACATTCGCCCACCGCATGAATATGCGGACTTTGGCTGATTATGTACTAAATCATGCGATCGCATAATCACGCTTTTCTGGAGGGACTGGTCATAGCTTCATCACCCAAAAAGTCAGAGCCATACTAAAGCTGGTGAAGTATGCTGTGCGCTGTACCTCCATTGGACTGTTGGAGATGGATCCAGCGATGCCGTTCTCATTGGTAATGTTGTTTGAACTGTTGTTGGGTGAACTTGGACCAGAACCAGGAGCACTGCTGCAAGCCGATTCTGAGAGAAAATGGATGGGAAAAACGTGGTTAATTTGGTGTCAGTCAAATCTGCACGGATGTCGGAATCATGGGCTAATGGTCAGGTCATTGATCTGTGGTGAGCATGCAGGAGACACGAGTTACCTGACAATCATTTTTTGACATGTCTCTACTTTCACTATGAATAAAACATGAACTATGTTCAAGATGGATGCTCTCACCTGCCATGTCCAGAGAGCGTTTCTTTGCAGTGGTGACCTGCCCATCTTTCCGCCGAAGCAACGGGCTACTCCTGCGCTCTGTAACTTTCTGCTTCAGCCTGGATCGTAGCTTCAGGTTAGGCTCAGATGCTAATGGGAAACGGAAAAAGGACAGTCAGTAAAATAAAGCAAGAACAGGACAGATATTTAATCCCGCAACAGGGCTTTCAAGAAGCAGGATGTCTGACATTACAAGTAAATAGAGAACACACACACTTTAGCTTTGTTCCAAAACCGCCTTTGTCTACTGCAAACTTTTCCTCAGAATCAGTTCTGAAGCCATCTTATCACCTATTTCAAATAGAAATATTGATCTGTGGAGAATTGGGATCTTTTGGTTTTACATGGATTTTAATTCATTCATTTTATATATGTATGAATGTAAGTATTATATTTTTTTGTAGCTTTATTTTTTTCAAAAAACGTTCTATACTGAAAAGTGGTGATGGAAAATAGATTATTCTGATAAACATTATTTTAGGATGGATGGATTTGGAAGGATGGATGGTAGGGTTGCCGCGGTGAGGAAAATTTCCCACCGGTTAATCGACGTGTGACAACACCGGTAATCCCGGTGTCACCGTGGAGGGCAGGGCGGGGGGGGGGGTTAAATAGCTTTTAAATGCGTGCGCGTTATACTTTCACTTTCGAAATAAGCGTCAATTGCTTGAATGGACAAAAAAAAAAAAACTCGCTGATAATAAAACTTTTATTTATAGACAGAACTTTTATTAGCATAACGAACGAATAAAAATAACCCCATGCATAGGCTGAAAAAAGTGAAAATCGGCAAACTGTGGGCCCAAACAAATAAAACGTTTATTAACAAATAAGAAAATAAAATAGGCCTAAATAAATTACACAAAGTTTAAATAAGATAAAACCAATTAAAAAGAGACGAATATAAAATAAAAACTTCAAAACGGACCTTAGCCTACATAAATGACATAATTTCACTTTCGAAATAAGCGTCAATTGCAATTCAGCGTCAATTGCTGGAATGGACCAAAAAAACAACAACAACAACTCGCTGACAATAAACTTTTATTTATAGACAGCACTTTTATTAGCGTAATAAACAAATAAAATATAGACAGAACTTTTATTAGCATAACGAACGAATAAAAATAACCCCATGCATAGGCTGAAAAAAGTGAAAATCGGCAAACTGTGGGCCCAAACAAATAAAACGTTTATTAACGAAAAAGAAAACAAAATAGGCCTAAATAAATTCAACAAAGTTTAAATAAGATAAAACCAAATAAAAAGAGACGAATATAAAATAAAAACTTTAAAAAGGACCTTAGCCTACATAAATGACAGCACTCTAAAAAAAAGTAAAACACTATAAATTGGCATTTATTAACATTAATATATATTGGCCAGAATATTGCCAAACAGGCGCTTTTGCATTGCGTTTTGACACCAAATCTTCCGCCATTATCTTGCTTTTCTGTAATTTGACTCGTTCTCGTCTCCACACGTGCTAAATGGAATCCTGATGCTTGCTGATCTGTGACGTGACGGCACGCACTGCGCAGTTCACTTTTAATTATAATGCTCTCTTCTGAACTAAATAATTGAAAATTATTATTTTTAATTAATTCAAATAAATATTTTAGCAAAAACGAATACTTAAAAAAAAAAAAGTCAAGACATCGCGGTGTCACGGTGGGAAAGTGATGTCACCGGTGATGGGGCTTAAAACCGGTAACACCGTCAACACCGTCTATCGCGGCAAGCCTAATGGATGGATGGATTTGGATGGGTGAATTTGGATGGATGGGTAATTTTGGATGGTGGGTGGGTGGATGGATGGATGGATGGATTGGTGGGTGGGTGGATGGATGGATGGGTGGGTGGGTGGGTGGATGGAAGGATGGATGGTTTTGGATGGGTGGGTGGATGGATAAATGGATGGATGGATGGATGGATGGATGGATGGATGAGTGGGTGGGTGGTTGGATGGATGGATGGGTGGGTTAATGAGTGGATTGGTGGATGGAAAACTTAAAAATCTTGATTCTCCACTGAGAAAGATTTCTGCTCATAAGCAGTTAAAAAATGGCTTCAGGACTGATTCTGCGAAATACAACTGTTAAAAAAGCAAGTAGTTGAAAGAAACTAGCTTGACCTGAACCAAGCAACTAATTAATCCTTATAAAATAGGTCATTTCAGGTCACTCATTATGTTTGTGAATTCAGATTCCAGTTGAAAAACAATGGCGCAAACCAGCATTCGAACAACTTCAAGCCTGGCACAGCAACTTGCCCAAAAGTTTAATCAAGCCTGTCAAGTGTAAACACTGTAAATGAATACCCTTGGTTCTGAGCGCTTTCAGTCAAACAGTTTGCAAACACATGCTCTTGGGAGTGCGACATAGCGTGTCAGAACAGGCCTGCCACTGAGGCCACGCACAGGCCTGGCCAGCTATTGATAAAATGAAAGTTCACAGAGAGGGTCGTGCCTATTTGAAGCTGTCATCCAGGCACGGACATTTCTCCCATTAGCCACGGCTGACATTTTCACCTGCTCACATGCTCCAACAAAAGACCTCTCAATCCCTCGCTTGCCCCAATTGTGCTTTGGCGCTTGATCCTTGCTTCGTTTGTGACCCAGTGTCAAAATGTGCATGGCCCAAAAATGAGAGCACGCAAAGTTCATTAGGACCAATGCACTCTATAGTAATTTGGAACATAACCTCATCTGTAGAGACTAACAAAAGCCATGAATAAACCTTTCAAATTGTTCAAATCATACACACAGATCTGCCCTGGGTGTTGAGGGGCACGTTTTTCCAGCCATTGAAAAGATTTTTTTTTTATACACCATTTAATAACCCAAGTTTTTCCACTTAAAGCCCTGTTTTAAGATCGTTTCTGATGAAATAGAACAGTGCTTTAGTCTACAAAGACATGAAACTCACCGAGTGGTCTGGGGTGTTCACTGATAAGCTAATAAAAAATAAATAAAAAATATTCGCAGCATGCTTTCCAACAGGTTTTATCGTAGTTTTTGTCCAACTCCATTGACTTTGGATGTGCTGTGAGGTACAGTATTACTCCACCGCCCAAACGGAAAATGGGGTTGCTTGTATTATTCTGCTTCTTCTGTGTGTTCAATGAAATGCCAGTGGTTTGCTTGCAATTGGCAAATGTGCATTATCGCCACCAACTGGTCTGGAGTGTCAATTATTCAAGCTCTCAAAGGAAGAATGAGGTGCGAGGCGTCTGAAAAAATAGGTCCACAGTTTTACAACGAATAGAATAACTAATAGAATAAAATAGAAAACTCATGCAAGTAATATTGAACTATTAATGATGCTTATAAAAGTTAACAGTGCAACGCAAACAGAAATCAACATCAAAATGATTGATCATCTAATAAATACCGAAAATAATGTGACTAACACAGAAAGCACTAACATATACAAGCAATAAAGCAAATGATACTGAAATGGTGCATAGCATGCAATAGCATTGGCTAAAACATAACATTAGTTGCCTCCTACAGTTTCTAATGAGTCATAGCACGTAGTTATAGATGGGTCCAAATGAATGTTCAATGTAAAAACCTATGCCACTGCCACTAATACGCAGATGTTGAGGAAGCACAGGTTCCATCACTTCTTCTCTAAAGAGCACTCTCTTCTGAAAAGCCAATCTTGTGGTTATACTTATCAAACTAGGTAGATATGAGGATGGCACTTCTGGTAAGTGGTAGGAAACATTCCCAGACATCTCGATCAAAGAAATCTACAGCAGGCATGCTGCCATTAATGCCCTGCATTAGCAAAGGTGGAGAAACACGAGCAGTTATAAAGTTTAACATGAGCCCTGTTCGGCTTACCATGCGTCAATCATATGACATCTGGGATATAATAAAAAGTAGAAACAAAACTTTTACAATTACAAGCTAGATTCAATTTTGTTGGAAACTCAAAACCCAACAGCCATTGATCTACGAACCTAGTAAATGACGAAACACCGCACCCAACAACATCTCACGCTGTACAGCTTCGGTTTGACCACTTGATGAACTGTAATAGTTTTAGCATGAAATATAGGCCATAGCAGGCAGCTGTAAAGGGAATGGATGAGCTCTCTCACTGACAGCAAAGAGGACTCCAGGCCCTTGACTCTCACCTGCCTCTTCTAAAAACTGTTGAGATGGCAGAACCGCACGCGAGTGTGTATGTTCCAGAACTCTGACACGTCCGCTGCAGTGGCCCGTGATATTTTGCTGATGTTACACACTCCCACACTTCAAACTCAACTCTTGAAGGGTGACGGTGACCCTACCGGGCAGTTTGATAATGCTAAGGTTGAAAACTATTTCCACAAAGTGAAAGATCTACGTGTCAAAGTGTACAGTCACCATGAAATCAAAATTGACAAGTCTTTTTTACTTATAACAAATGAATCCGTAAACATCATTTTTGAACCCATCATGATTTTTAATCAAATTAACTTCCCCTTCCTCTTGCAGCGATATCTATTCTCTTCTCTGATGACATGTTTACTGGAGAGAGGGCGGGGCCGCGGGACAACATGACACTCACATGAGATCGACCAATAGCAAACAACAACCATCCAATCAATTCGCAATGGGCAAAATCAAGCCCTGCCCGACAGTTTTTTCTTGTTCGAGAAGCGGCTTTACTAAGATATAAATCACAATTTCCCAACTTCCGTTTCAAATTAACCAAAATACAGAAAAAGCACCAGGGATGCAGACATCAAAATAAATAAGCCAATATTTCTTTTCATTTTATGGCCGAAAAAAGTGACCAAAATAAAAAAAATTCTACAATATTTTGTAAATTTAGAATTTAGCACTAAAAATAAATTGCTTCGCATGTTACAAGCTAATTTAAGCATTATATTAAATTTGCTAAAGATTGCATTTAACGGTGTCAATAAATGATATAAGATGGCAACAAACGTAACCTAGAGTAAATGCAAAAATCGATTAAATAAATAACCAATATTGGCCAATATCAAATGATAACAATGCATAAAAAATGAACATCATTCTATTAATAAATATAGTATATATATATTGTTTGCTTCCTCTTGGCATATCAGCT